GGATATTATCTAAGAAAATATTACTTCGCGATTTCTTTGAAAATAACATAAATTTATTTCCATTATAATACTTGATCTTACTTTCCCAAATGGATATTGCCTCCAGTCTGTTTGGGATAAAATAAACAAATCTGACATAACATTAGTAAAACGAATTAAATATATTGAATATAAATGAAACGTCAAGGTGAACGGTATGTTTTTGTTTACAAAAAAACATTACATTTTATTAATAATAATTTCAAAATATTGCTTAAGGTTTTACTTAAATTGCACTAAATTTTATATAGGATACAGTTATAACATTTTAACGTTACCCCATACTTTCTTCAGACTAATTCGATTCACTACGTTTCAATTCAAACACAGTTCTAATCGACACACGTTTTTTTCCAGGTATTTTTAATTAATTTAAGTCAAGGTCATTGGAAAATCGCACGCATTTGTTACGCAGCAGTGTCTTTTCTAAATGTAAGTATTTGCTTAATAAGTTTTCCTTTTTGAATAAGTATAGTTAATATGTATAATGAGTATTACCTCACTGGGCCATGAAAGCTCTGAGTCGATTCAACAAAATGTATTAATTTATATCCATATGACTACGAGACCAAATTGTGCAACTTTTCAAGATAATTGTTGTAAAACTTATCTACCTAATTTGGTAATAATTTATATGATAAAAAACAGATATCTGTATCTATTGCTTGATTGAATGGAAAATTGGAAAAAAACAAATGATTGTTTTTTTCTAATAGACAAGTAGGTGATCAGCCTTTTGTGCCTTATCCACGCCGTCGCGTCGTCTTATTTGGGTTTACATGCCTCAGAATGTTTAATTTTCTATCTATTCCATTTCTAAAATAGCAGAATGACAATAGACACTGTTAAAAACACTTAGCAAAAGATTGCATGTGGTACGTAAAATATAATCATAATTCATGACGAAAATATTTAGGATAGGCGTTATATCGAGAATATACTAAGACGTGTAAAAGTTAGTTTCATTCGTAAAAGTTAAAATAAGCGTTAAGTAGATTTTAATGATTGCAAAACGTGTCGACGTCCGGCGTCTATTCGTTTCGACTTTCTTTAGAAAATGTACCTACTGTAATATATCCTGCGAGGATCGTGATCATTTATAAAGTGACATTTATCTATTCGGTCTGCATTATGAATAACTCCTCAATGTTGATATATATATATGACCACTCAGACATAAATATAATTATCGTAATTGTTTATAGCTATAATTGCGATGCAATTTGTACAGTTTTGGTTAGGAAAATTTTTGCATCCGTGAATTTTGTATCCACAAATATTCATTTTGGCGTCAAATAAAGCCTTAAAGCCGGGGTTCATGTCTCTAAGCCAAAAGGTAATTAACTCGACTAGTATTTTGTAATTAACAAATAAATTACGAAAACCCGCAAAGAGCAAGTTAAAAGAAAATTAGTCCATAATTCTGGCTTTCCAATAACATGAAAGTACTGAAAATACAGTAAAAGGAATTTCGGCGAAACCTTAGAATTACATTGTTCGAAATTTAAATGGAGCAAAGTTTATTTAGCGTATTTTAATTAGATTCGACGTGTACTTTAAGTTCCAAAATTATCATAAAATACTTTATACATTTTAAATATATTAAATGTCAGTATTTTTAAAATACCTTTTGTTGCACGCACGTGAATAGGTCGATACAGAGTAATTGTAAGTGATATAATTAAACTTATTTTATTCCCAAAAACAAATAATTCTGATGTTTACATTAAAACAAAAGATATTTTAATTTGGATTTTAAACGAAAAAAATAGAAAATAAAAATATCCATATTGGAAAGGTTAATCTTTACTGTGAAAGTGACACATAACCTTTTTATACCATTTTATTGATGCTGTTACATGGTTCACTGGTTTAAGCAGTGCAGGTGATAAAAATTAAAACTTGCACTTTCCATCTAATAATACTTTTAAACTATAAGATGGTCATTTCATAGCTAATTGAGTAAGTCAAATCAAGCGCACGAAGGATCATGGTAATTATATACACCCCAACCCGCCAATAGTACTAGACTTGTCCATACATTGTAAGGTATCTTTCCATATAAAGAGAGCCCTCAAAAACTCTATATAATAGGCGTTTAGCGTCGCTATATCAAAGTATTTACACTAAGACACGAGATATTGTTTAGTTATTAGCTTTAATTGTAAAGGATGCTCCTTTTACAATTAAAGCTAATAACTAAGGGACTAATAGTTGCAGAAATACAACTTTTAACCTTTTTTAGGGTACACGAAAAATAGGTCTTATATACAAATATGGATATATGATAGGCGGCGTAGAGGAGACGAGCACAAAAGATACGAAATAAAGGTAGTCAAAGGTAAAATCTGGTGAAATACAATGCAATAAAATTAATAATTCATGTATATATATAATCATACTACCTATTAGAAAATGGTTAGCATATGGTATATGAGAGAAAACGCACAATATCACTGTAGGCGCAAACTAAATTCCCACGTTTCTATCAATTGAACATCAGTAAAGATTGTTATTCAACAATGGCCCTACAATTGATTACTTTGCTTGTACAATCTCGTGGCCACCAATTGATATGATTGCTCCTCTATTTGTATGCTTTTCATTGATTTTAATTTCAAGGTCGCCAGCTCATTTAAGTTTGATTATTTCTGGTCTAAAAAACACGAGAAAATTCAACTAAAACAAATCGACTATCAGATGCCACTATTTTATTTGTCTATCATTAACATTATTTTCCTATCTTTAGTGTCGGCGCTTAGAAGCATTTAAGATGTGGTGCTATAGTCGCATGCTTCGTATTAGCTGGATCCAGTAGGTCTCTAATGAGAAGGTTCTTAACGAGTTGGAAAACCTTTTCTTTAGAACTCAATCATATTTCTCTAATCCTTAACGTGGCTTTCTTTTGTTAAAAGAATTTTCGAAATGGATTGAGTAGATCCAGAGATTATCCTCTTTACCTCTTTTTTAATATTACTATAGATACATTATTACTTTATATACATGAAAAGGTTAGTTTGGTTGAAGCGCGGGTTCCAAAATTAATGGTCTGGGAATATAAGTAGAAGACATCAGTCGCTTCACTATCGTTGTATAACAGAAATATCTCACCTACTAACGAACGATTTCTATAGTAGCATACATATAAGTAATAATTAATTGAAAAACATGGAAAAATAACAAAATAGATAATTACAGGTCATTAATTCATAACTACATATTATTAAAACGCGTTTATACTTATCTATAAACTGCAATTCCAAGTTACTAAATGGGAATGTAATTGTTTCCCTAGGGCACGAAAATTACTTTCCATAATAACATGATAAAAACGCATGTTGATGGTGGTACATTAAAAAGCGCATTGTTTCACATTTGAATTCATAAATTATTAGTTGGGATAAGGCGTAAAGCTGTTTCTGGATTCAACTGCGTACTTGCTTAGGTATACTAAAAATGAAACAGACGCAGGTCAGTTAATATATAAGTCATATGATCTTAGAATAGTGGATATATTTAAAGAATCCTTTGATAAAAATTATATTATGTCAAACAAAAACCCGAAATCGAATTCCTTACATAGCAAAAACTATTTTTTTTTTAAATATATACCTTCATAAAATGGAAAGCGTTCTATGCTTATATATACACAATATTGGGTTCACTCAAGTAAAACACGCATAATTTTTCACAAAAAAAAATTTCAAGCACTCTTCAGTGTTTTCAATATCCTCCAGAAAGACTCTTCCAATTGGATAAGGATCATTATCTGGGCCGGACAGGACAATAAAGCCACCACAGAACTTCGATTGGGGTTTCCAATGTCAATATTTAGTCTTCGTATCATTCACGCGACAATAGCGCTCTACAATATCGTACGATTATTACACTTCGTTGCAGTAATACAGAAATACAGTAGGTACAATTAAAATGAAGTGCAAGTGGCGGCCTTATCGCTTTCGAGCGATCTCATCCAGGGAACCACCGTGAGACAAAAAATAAAATTATATGAGGCAAGAAATGCGAAACTACATAAGACATAAAGTAATTTAGACAAAAATAATGGAAAAAAGCAATTAAAATACATTATATACATATGGTAAACAATGGAAGACACAATAATCTAAAAGAGTAGACACCAAAAAGAAATACGATAATTTCAGATCAGTTAGTACGAAAGTTAGGGATAGGATGTGGACTGGTAATGCTTGTACAGAAGAGATTTAAAGAAAGATAGAGAAGGGAGCTAAGCGTATAAGGACGGGAAGTGAATTGCATAACCTCACTGTAGAGACATTAAAGGATTCGCCAAATAAGAAGTAAGAGTTATGAGATGGAATTTCAAGGATATAGTTTTCGGAAGAGCGTAAGCTATAGATAGCTATGGGCTCCCAAAACTTGAAATCGTGTTTGAGATAAGGAGTTTTACGGTTGAACAGGATGAAATATAAGAGATGGAGAACGTGTACGTTCTTAGATGACGTCATTTGAGATTTTTTGTTACTGCTAATACCAGACAATTAACTAATTATATCAATCAGACGTGGATGTGTACTCACTACTACTAAACAAAATCTTACAGAAATTGTATTTATTATCGGGGCCTGGAGGGTGAACGTTGATTTGGCCATTTCCCGATATAATTTGCAGTGGGCTGATACAAGGTGAAGGTCGTTTGTAATTATGGAGGTGGGGCCACACCTTGATTAAACTTTTTATAGATAACACGTATATGATAGACTTGTGAACACACTTGCGATGCCGACGTTTTTAAAACACGACATAAAATAATAAAATATTGTTAATGCATTATACTCGTAGCCTCAATTTATACCGACTGCAGAACAAATTTTAATTTGGATTTTGCGGTAGGTAACTCTCCTTAAAACTACTGCAATATTGATAGAGAACCGGTTCATGAGCCAACAAAAAAATAAAACGAAGTAGGCTGGCGTCCGTGACTAGGCCATCAAGAAGATGGTTACATCAGTAGCGGGTTGAACGTTGACCCGGGTTGGCAGAACCAAAGCGGAGTGGAGCCGATTAGAGGACCTTTGTCCATGTAAATAAAGGCTTCCATTATTAGCATTAATATAATCTACTTCACCGTGGGTTTCCCAAGCCCTATAAGGGTCACAAGTTTCTGCTATCAATGTTGATAATTGACTGCTCTAAGTTCAAAAATCAAAAGCATTAAGAAAATATTTCCAGGTGCAAGCAAAAAAAAAGGCGATTAAAAAGAGTGGCGGAGAGTTTATTGCCAGTTCTTCTCTTCCGTTCTACGCCCTTGATTTGAGAACTGGCACTAAATGTAAAATTAGAAGCATTAATATTTATTTCTTTAATGACGAATCACAAGTGTACATTGTGTTACCTACGTGAATAAATGATTTTTGAATTTTGAATTTTGTATCTTTGATCCAAATTAAGTGCACATATTAACTATTATATATTACTAACTAATTAGGCCTGAAAACCACAGTTGCTCCTCCATCTTTGTTAAATCGTTGTCTTTTGTTTTTTCTACTAAATATATTATTATAGTTGCTTACTTTTGCCAGGCACTTTAGACCCATCAATTTTTAATGTTAAGTAATCAATGTATTATTAGTAAAATATTAACTACGTACTTGTTATGTAACGGAAGAGTAAAAATATATTAATTTAAGTAGTATACCAACTATTCATTTATTTCCGTAAAAATTTTAAAAACAAGAAGCAAAAAGGATACAAAAATTACAGCCTGAAAATAACTATAATATGTATAGCCTTTAGCCTCCGAAGTCCTTACTAATGACGTCAACGAAGAGGGTCCGGCCCTCTCTCACAACGATTAAATAGGATTGTATTAATCTCTAATGAAACCTTTTAGACGGCAAATCCTTTTACATAGATCGTAAGACCCTAAGACCTGTTCCAAGCAAAAGTTGTCTAAATAAAATTTTATTTTAAAGAAAGCTAAGTAAAGAACTACACGTAAAACGTCATTTAAATTCAATCTGTTTAATATCGTATATCTTACAGCTTTTAGATAGTAGTACTATGTACATATATTTGTATTGCAATTAATAAAGAAAATTAAGGCAACAAATCGCTGGATTTATCTATTTTTATTACAGCGTTAAAACAATGAAATGTAAAAATGAAATTTAAATAACAATACTTTCCTAATAAAACAGTAGGTACATATTACCTCTGCCTATGTCAATTACTCTAAGGAAGATGTTAAAACATTTTGGATTAAAATTGTTCGTTCTTTTCTTTCCTATTTTTGTAATTATAACGAATCTCATGGCATATTGTGTGTAACATGCTCCCTGTAAGTCGAGCCATCCAATTAATTTGAAGCCACTGCAGTGCTGTCTGAACAAAATTCCGACTTTTTCGAGCCCTCGAGTACCTGTCATATGGCTAGGGTTAAAAGGGAGGGTTTATTTACTGTTGCAGGATAAATAAACATTCATGCTTGTGAACAATAACAGCTTATTATGGGACAGTTATTTTTATATTTTAAACTTTCCTTAAGTAATTATTTACGCATCTTGCGTATGGCATATTATTTTCGACAAAAACTATGAGCCCGTCAAAATATACTATATTTTAAAGGATTTCAGAACTTAAACGTAGTGAGTGTCTCTTGGCAGAATGATCTTTATAAAGATAATGTAGAGAATTTCTTAACTTAGTAAGATTATGAGAAACAACAACAACAAAAAAATCTGAAGGAATCTTTAAAAGAAGCTAAATTAAGAATGGTCGTAACGTAAGCGTGACGATGTTAACATTATTTTCACCCTCCGAGAAAGAACTTTTTGTGTGGATGTATTGTACGTTTTGTAGCATATCAGCAAATATATATAAAGTATCAATTAGAATTATTTTTATGTACAGATAGGTGTCTGGAAAATTTTACTTTAAACCAAAAATGGTTTTCAACATAAGAACTGGCAATTTAAACTCGTGGGCATTATTGGACTGATTACTTTGATGTATTTTAAATAGATAATATCTATTTCAAATACCGTCTAATTATTATTTTGATTTAGAATTTAGCCTGTTCTTTCCTGAGGATGCCTTGTTTTGGGGTGATTTTTGATTTGAGCCTCTTAATTTCGGTCCCAGCATAGCAGTTTTTGTAGTCGCGTAAACTGAATTAGAGAACGGTGGTTGGATTCAAATTACGCTCGTATTGAGCCTCTTACAGACAGATTTTTTAATTGACAAAAAGAATGCTCAGAAAAGGTTATTTTAGCAAATAAGTATTATATATAATACACACCAGTTATATAATAAATCAGCGAGTTGCCCTTGAGTATTAAATGTCTTGGTCTCCGATGTCTGAGGTATTTGCGATTGATTATGATTGACTTCATTGGTTATTCATAATAATGCTTGTTGTAAATGTAAAAACTTTGGACTCAAGTGTTTTACTGGGTACTTTTAAATTAAATATTTGTTAGACTAAATTGGCGTAAGAGTTCTTTTGTTTCGGAGGTCGAATTTCCTTTGGTCGATGCAGCAGCAGAGATTAAAATTCAACTATCACAATTGCGATAATTAACCGAATCTTAATCAGAAAATTCTAAATTAATATAAATAACATACATTTATTAAAACAGAGCATTACTGAGAATAAAATTAATTCATAGATATTCCCATAGGGACTGCATAACGGTACTTTTTCAATAGTCCTATTGTAGTTTTGTGCAACAATGCGGCAGCTGTTAAGCGCCCTAAATAATCTGACGTAATAACAAATCGTGTAATAATCAAGATGTGATAGTAATTCAACAAAACTATAATTTCTAAAGCTCCAACAATCCAATAGGACTACAGATACCAAATTTATATTTACCATTTATTGGTACCAAAAAAAATAAAAAAATAAAAAAATATAAGTGTTAAAATTTAATTTTTAGTGACAAACAGTCTAGATGTCCAATGAACTGGATGTATCCTGGTCGAACAACAGTCAAGCCAAATGTTGAGATGAGGATTACTTATTAAATTTTCAGTCTCTTAGAATGGAAATTACATAATCATAAATAAACCGCTTAACGATACAGGGATTTGTTATATGTGATCAGTATAGACAAACATTATTTACCATTTTGAATTCACTTATTTAAATAAATGTGTATTTTTCATATTAGTACCAAGTCAGTTGTTTGTTGATACAGCGTCCAGAAAACATAAGTTTAGGATAACACATCTGGTGAGAAGTTCTTGTAAGACTATAACAAGACATTACATAATTCTATGATAGAGACAGAGAGCATTTAAAGACATGATGAGTCTAATTAGAGCACTAGTTCAAGTCAATTAGGTCGCTTCAATTGACACTTGCTTTAAAAGCTAAGGTAGTGATTGATAGCAATAAAAACTGTAGTCTTACAAATTTACTACAAAACAAAAATATAGCAAATCTCAAAATTTTAAAACTCTTATTTAAAATAAATATAAAACTTGGTATAATAATACATATAGAGCATAGATTTTAGATGTCAAATGCATATCGAAGTTTAATATTTGTTAAGAGATTGATTTTAATCATTTTATAGAGATTATTTATACTTTTATATAAGGTATTAATATTAATATTAATACTAAAAGTTGTATATACTTAAGAAAAGGACAATGTCCTTTCTCTGTGGACCAGAAGTGATGAATTGGGTCACACTAGTTCTTAATGACACCTATGCTAAAGTACGGTCGAACCCCGCAATACAGCAACGACGGCTGCGCAAAAATTACTCCTTTTGCAATCACGATATTTCATATTATACTGCGATTTGTTACACTTAACAAATGCGAGCAACGAAGACTATATGTGTTGCATAAGACCTGTCTTATAAGATTTTGGTAGCTATACTTTCATGCTAAACAAAAATTTAAAAATTTACCTGTTTACTCCTGTTGTCGACACCGTTCGCCTTCCCATCTTGCACATTCGCATTACTTTCCTCACTTTTTTCACTTTTTACACCCTCCAACGCCATGATCAAGAGAATAATTTATTCACTACCATGCGCGGTTAATTTTTATTATTACAAACTCACTGCGCTACATAAAAATTTGTATCGATAGCACACTCCCAGGCGAAAATTTATTAAAACAACATAACACACCAAGTTAATCGACGCATAGAGCGCGAATGAAGAAGTTCAAAAAAGGAATTTTGAAATGACAACTGACATTTACCATATGGCAACTGACATTGTCATGACATAATCAAAGTGTTGCCAGCAATTCAATCCAAGATTCGATGTGTCAAGCAAATTCTGTCATAATCTATCATAAATAGTAGAATAACGAAAAATCAATACCGATATGATCAATGTGACCTTTGCAAGCAATTTCCACACATACGGTCTTTTTTACGAATAAAACGTGCAATGGGGCTTTTGGGTTATGTATTTAAAAGATTGAAGACGACGTGAAGAAGATTTTAATTAAGAAGTAGATCAGCATTATAAAAATATAATTTTTTCTGTCATATTTTGTTTTATTCTTTTATTTTTCTTTGCTTTTTTGACTTGATAAAGTAGATATAAATTAATTGTATGTTATTTAAAAATATGACCAGAAGTGATTTTATCTCAGTAATTGAGAAATTGCCATCTTTTTAAGAGTTGCAGAGGTATTTTTCGACAACACGCACCTTATCAATATAACATCATAAATGGAATCGTTCAGTTACTCATTCTGTCCTTATCAATTACCTATCTGTTAAAAAATATTTGTCCAAAGATTTGTAAAACAAACCCCATGTACAAGTTGCATGAAAGTAACGTTATAATTTTTCTAAAGTACCCATTCCTTGAACCTGAGATATATATAATTACTTGCCTAAAGAAGTATATAACTTATTTTATGTAAAAATAAGTTGAATATAATATAATTAGAATTCCTTTTTTAAAAGTGATTTTAAATAGAATTATTAATATACTAACAAAACTAAATTCGTTCAAGCTATAGTATTTTATTTGAAGATAGAGGAAAATGTTTCCCACAAAAGCACGTCACAGCCGTAAAACGTGTTAAGGACTAAAAAAAGTATGTTTGATTATTCATTACGGCTAACGAGCAGACTCATTATGGAGTTCAAATCTCAATGTCCACTCCACATATTAAATTGATAACATTATGAGTGACTTGTAACAAATATTATTAAACCATGTACTGACAGACAAGTAGTTGAACGCGATGTTTAAAATAAATATTAATTCGAAACCATTAGTGTTCATTTAAACAGATTTATAAAAAAATAATATAAGAATACTTATAAATAGTTCTGATCAAACGACTATGCGACTAAAGGCAGAGTTATGGATAGAAGTTTATTCAAAATAAATGTATACGTCTTTAAGATTCCATTTTCATAAATAAATCACCGTATTTTTTCCTGTTTTCATAATTATTATTTTCACATCCAAACAATACATGTTCAAAAACCTAGAGCGTCATGCGGTGAGCGAAAATAGTTATATTTAATTTTCCTTAAATGAGTGTTTTTCCGACGCTACTAATATAAGTACTTATGGGAGGAAACTGGACTCTAACGCATTCTAGTTATCATCGCGCACGTACAATTACAATGCATGTATCGCCCATATTACTATTTCTATAGATTTTATACACAATCAGAAAAAAACAAAATTTATGGAGTTTAAAACGTAACTTTTATAAGTGTCTGGAAAAGTGTTGGTTTGGTGCTTTTTTGGTGAATTTGTTGGTTTCAAATTGCGAATTTTTTAAATAATACAAAATGCTGAAGTGTAAGTAAATTTAACTAATTATTTATCTAAAAAGAATTTGATAGCCTTTAAGGGCTTTTTACCCATAAAATAGGAGAACGAAATAGGAGATTTGTGAATATTTCAATTTTAAATTCTCAATAAACTAAACAAAATTATTGCAAATATATTAAAAAACAAGAAATCGCACTTCAAATACATGATTGTTTTTTATAACGCCCTAAATTAAAAATTATTTTATTATCTTAATTAAGTTGAAAGTGATCTTTTTAAACAATTTCATTATATTACGAAAAATTGTTGTTTGTAAGATGCCTTATTACGAGCGGACTTTGCGTTATGTAGGTGCATGAATAAATAATGCACTTTGCACAGTGTATTTATATATGCAAAGATAAATATTATGTCAGTCCTGATCAACTTGTCATCCTTGAATACGACAATATTATTGCTTACTATTAGCAAAGTTAATAGTAGTTGGCTATACATAATAATGACCCTTAGTGGGCAATGTAATACGCTATGAATTTCAAACATATGTTAGTTAAACTGACATTTTCATAGCAACCCTTGGGGTACACCACAATCTTCCTCCTCTTGCTAACATTCTTTGCGGCTTTTTCTAAATAGAACGATAATTGACGATAGTCACAATAACATGTTTCCTAAAATATTTCATATGGATAGATTTCTATGTATAATGCCTATATTGTGTCCAGCTTCTATGTAACATGATATAAATTGATCGCAAGGTTGCAATAATATATCAATTAACATTAACTAGCAGACAACAACTTGCTCCACAATTATTTATATAACAATACTGTAAAACTGAAAATTTGATACAGTCATTTTAAACAAGTACCATAAACAGAAAACGAATATTGTTAATATTAACTAAGCCTCTATGATCAAGATTAGATATTCAAGACTGAAATTATGTCAAAATAGCATGACTTCTATTATAAGTAAGCCATCGCAATTTGAATAATAAAATACAGTAAGTAAAAAAGTTACTGGATTTTTAAGTGCAGAATTTATATTTAACGAAAAGCGCGGGAAACTTCGTTCATGGTAGACGTTTTTTTTTTCACGGTGGTGAATGTTTAATTTAATTTTACAAGTTAAAACGCAGAGGATAAGCTGGTAGTTTTAATTTTTGTATTATATGTAATCTTTTTATCATATTTGTGTATAGTGTCATCGTGTAGTCGGTAAGTTTTTGTAATTTCTGTAAATATTGTATGAACAATATTTACAGATATCGGGGGGATGATGGCCTTGTTGGCTTGAATCTCCCTGTGGGATCAAATGTATCTGTTGGTTCACAAGATGAATTTGACAAAATGGATACGGATTGTTCGTTATCATCTCAGACAGGTGAAGGAAGTCGTAAACGAACACGTTATTTGCGCCTTTGTCGGCAATGTACGAAAATTAAGAAAAAGAAAGGTAGTAGTTCTAGCGGTGATTACTGTCAGTGCGAAAGCTTATGCAATGTAGAAGATGAGTCAATTTTAATTAAAAAGGTTACTTCAAAACCTATATCTGAATCCACGTCATCTCCACACTTGCAAAATAATAATAATTCACATCCTCTCGACCATCAACATCTTACACGGAAAATTCAAATATCTCTCAAGACTCTAACGCGGGAAATTCAAACAACACCACAGCTTCAGTAACCAATACGGACCCCCGTTCGATTGGCCGTACTGAATATGTTTCTACTGATGTTTCCCCTTATTTAATACATGTTCAACGTATTCAAAGTTCACCTGACGATGGGACCATTCTCCATCCAATAACATTTGGCAATTTTTTAAAGCAGAACAAATTTAATAATATTATTCCCGGAAGTGTAAAGCGTATAGGAAGAAACAGATGCGTAGTTGGCTTTTCCGATTATAAAGACGCCAATAATTTTCTTAACTGCAATCTTTTGGAAACGAAAAAGTTAAAAGCCTTTATTCCCACTTTCAGCGTAACAAGAATGGGTCTAGTTCGCGGGGTCCCTGTAGATTGGAGTGTAGAGGAAGTTCAACAAAATGTATCCGTACCTATAGGCTGCGGCAAAATACTTAAAATAAGACGTTTGAATCGCAAGGTAAAAATTTATGACTCGGTTTCTTGGAAACCCTCTGAATCAGTTGTAATAACATTTGATGGGCAAGTTTTACCAAAAGGATTTTCATGTGCTATAATGCTCTTCCAGTAGAAATATATATTTATTCTACAATACAATGCTATAAATGCTGCCGTTATGGTCATACCAAAGTTCAATGTCGTTCTAAGACTCCAATATGTTATAACTGTGGAGGTCAACATGCAGGTGTATCATGTGACAGGTCAGATAAAGATCCTCTGTACTGTGTAATGTGTGAAGTCGAAGGGTCCCATTCAGCGATAGATAAGTCATGTCCAGAATTTGTGAGACAGACAGAAATCAAAGTTAAAATGGCTCAGAGCTGCATGTCTTATGCCGAAGCCAGTAAATATTTTTCTTCTGTTAAGCCTTCATACGCAGATGCATTAAGTTCAACAATTCCGGAAGTACCAAAACCCGTATATTCTTCCGCAGCGAAGTCTGTATCTCGTAATAATTCTACTAATGCCTCAAATAAAAAGACAGTATTCTTAAAACCTCGCTCTCCTCGTAAACCACAACATTGTTATGATCGTGTTGCGCATAATAATGTTTTAAAAGACTTCCAAGTTCCAGAGCCTAAAAATGGCAGTGCTCTGGTTGGACACAAAAATAAAGAAGAAGAAAAATCGGATGTATTAGAAATGATACTAGCATTATTAACTAGTTTAATAAACTCAAACTTATTGAAACCGTCCCACGTTGCCTCTATTAATGAAAAAATTAAATCAGTTAATGTTATTAAAAATAATGGATTCCAAGATAATTCAATGGAATTGCAGGAGTGTTGTTCCAAAGAAACATGATTTGATATATTTGGTAAATAAACATTCTCCCGTTGTTGTTGCGTTATCTGAAACGTGGTTGAAGCCAGGGTACCTATTAAGGATCCCAGGATATACCTGCTTGCGTGATGATAGATTTGATGGCCATGGTGGCGTAACGTTACTTGTCAGGAACTCAATTAATTTTTCTGAAATAGCGTTTTCTTCATTAATCTCTAATGATGCCATTAATATTGTCGGCATAAAAATTGATAATATTTCTATAGTTTCCATTTACCTAGCTCGTTCCTCTTTTGTTATTCTCAATAGCGTTAATAATTAACTTTCTTCACTTAGTCGTCCATTCCTTCTATTGGGTGACTTTAACTCTCATCACCAAATGTTTGGTTGTGGCACTACTGACTCCAATGGTGTACGTTTAGTTGAAATATTAGATTTACATAATTTGTGTTTACTTAATACTGGCTCACCAACCAGACGTACAAAGCCTAATGAAAAGCTTAGTGCGGTTGACTTATCAATTTGTACTCCAGATCTTGCTTCTTCTCGTTCTTGGTACACTTCATCATCTACGTTTGGCAGTGATCATTTCCCGATTATCATATCCTCACCTATTAGACGCTCTCCTTATCAAAAACGACAACCTCGTGTGAAATATAAATTAAATAATGCTGATTGGCTTGCATTCCTTGTCGAATCTAAAATAAATGATTTGCCTGAATTAGTTAGCGGTGGTGAGACCAATTCCTCTAAAGCTTTGGTTACATGTTTAATAGAATCTGCCGATCAGATTTTTTCTGTCAAACGAAATCCGTCTAATAAGATTCCTTTTCCTCCATGGTGGGATAGAGAATGTATGGTTGTTGTAAGCAGAAGAAAGGAAGCTGAGAGAGTCTATGCTGAGGACATGTCCAATGAAAATTTAGATATTCTCAATGAAGTTATTAGTACCACACGTAAATTCCTCAGAGATAAAAAGCAGGCAGGCTGGAAAATTTTTTGTACTTCTTTATCTCCTTCTACGTGCCCTTCAGAAGTTTGGAAAAGTATTAAACGTTTTTGATCTGCTTTCAAAGAATCTTTATCATCGTCTTCACTTCCCCCTTTTTTAACCAATGCCTTTTTAGACAGATTAGCTCCTCCATCAGCTGCTGAATCGATCTACTTTCCTTTGGAATCGTCTTTGACAGATGAATCTTCCTCTTTAAACTCTCCTTTTTCATTTAATGAATTGAAAGGTCTGCTTTCACATGTTAAGGATTCATCTCCTGGTCAGGATGGTATTATGTACTCATTTTTATCTCATCTTGGTGATACTGCCTTAATGTATTTTTTAAATTTAATAAACTCCGTCATGCTCACAGGTAATATTCCTGAAACATGGAAGTCTCAAGAAGTTATAGCGATTAAAAAACCTAACAAACCTACCAATGATGTAGCCTCATATAGGCCTATTGCGTTGTCCTCCGTTTTAACTAAAATTGCTGAACATCTTGTGAAGAATCGTTTGGAATGGTTTATAGAAAACAATAATTTAATAGCCAATAGTCAATACGGTTTTCGGAAGTCAAAATCTACAATAGACAATTTAGCTATATTAACCACAGATATTCGCATAGCTTTTTCGCGTGATGAAGATATTGTAGCTGCCTTTTTGGACATCTCTGCCGCCTATGATAATGTGAACATTTCTATTCTACAACACAAATTATTAGAGCTACAGGTTCCTACGTTATTAATACATTTTATCATCAATTTACTATCCTGCAGATACATATCATTGATCGTTCAGAAAGATGGTAATATTACCGAGTTAAAGCGTACAGTTTTTAAAGGCCTTCCCCAAGGTTTGGTACTAAGCCCACTTTTATATAATATTTACACGTATGATTTAGAATTATCTATAAATTCCCATATAAATGTGCTACAATATGCAGATGATCTTCTTTTTTATTCCGTTGATAAATCTGTGGTTAAGGCTTGCAATTCCATGTCTAGTTCACTTAATTGTCTTAATATCTGGTTAGTTAAAAATGACCTAGATCTATCAGTTTCCAAAAGTTCTATAGTCGTATTTTCCAAAAAACGCACAACTCCTATAATAAATGTGACCTTCAATGGTCAATCTTTGCCACTCCAAACAAAAATTAAATTTTTAGGAGTTATATTGGATTCAAAATTGTCTGGACTTGCCCATTATGAACATGTTGTTATGAAAGTTTTAGATTATGGCACATTTCTCTTAGATGGAGGAAGTGTCTTGGGACGTCAAAAACTTGATGTCATTCAGTCAAAAGCTTTGAGAATTGTGACAGGAGTAATGAAAACAAGCTCATCCAATGCTTTACAAGTAGAATGCTGCGATCCTCCTTTAAAATTAAGAAGGCAATTTTTAAGTGATCGATTCTTGTTCAAATCTATGCAGTTTTCTAACCACCCTCTACATAGAAAACTGCATGAATTGAACAATATTATTCATACATCCCGTTACTGGCGTCACAAATCATTACCATGTCTAATAATAAGCTTTCGTAAATTTTTAACATTACACAGCCGCATTCATCGATCTCCATCATTACCCATATTTATGACACAATTCAATTCTTTAATTCTTGATCCGGATATAAGATATAATATAGGCGTCTGTAAGCAAAATATTCTGGAAACAAATATTCGTTTCATGAGTAGCGTTGAGGAACAAAATTGGGAAGGATGGGATTATATTTTTACAGATGCCTCTAAAATCTCTGTTGATGATTGTGTTGGAGTTGGTCTAATTCATTGGCAACATAAAATAATTCAAAAGATTAAACTTCCTCCTGAATCCTCAGTTTTTACTGGAGAGTGTTTTGCTCTTTTAAAAGCTTTAGAACTAGTTATTTTATTAAAATCTAAAAGAACAATCATACTTTCAGACTCAAAAAGTGCACTACAATCTCTTGAAAAATCTCCATTCCAAATGAAATTTTGTTATCCTATTATTTGCGAAATACGTGATAAGCTTTTAATATGTTCTCAAAGAAATTACACCGTTATCTTTGCATGGATTCCAAGTCACAGTGGGATTAAAGGAAACGAGAAAGCCGATAAGCTTGCTAAAGAAGCTATAAAGGATGGAGACATAGTCCCATACATTAATTATTGTCATGATTTAGCTGCTCTTCCGAAAACCCATCTTTGGGAGTCATGGAATGATGTTTGGTTGAGAAGCAGCAAGTTCAAAGGCAAACATTATGCTGAAATTCAACCTAGGATCCCCAGTAGACCATGGTTCTTTGAGGTTAAAAGTTCTAAAACTGTCACTTCTATCATTTCCAGAATGCGTTTAGGACATGTTTGTACACCTCATCATTTAGCAAGGCTTCGTATTGTTGATAGTAATATTTGTGAGTGTGGAGAAGATATTGGTGACCTCGACCATATTTTCTTTTCTTGTTCCCAATATGACCGTACCTCCTTTCTGAATTCTTTACAATCACTTCATGTTCCGTTTCCGACTAAAATCTCCTGCCTTTTGCTTTATCCTTTATTGTATTATAATGTATTATCTTCTTTCATAATCTATAATAATATTAAGATGTAATATGTTTATGTACATATTTTGTTTTTAACCAGCTTATCCCTTTATTTCCTTTTGATGTCTTTGTTTATTTTTTTTCGCGTGTAGTTTCCCAACCTTTTACTTGAAACTGGCATAAAGTTGAAGCTATTGCCAAAAAGTTAAAAAAAAAAAAAAAAATTAATTCAACACAAGTGACGAATTTCTAAATTACTAATAATATCTAATATGACATTGACAAGACGACGTATACGTTATCAAATTTGAATAGTTCTTTTCCCGCGTTTTTAGAAAGCGAAGTGTCAACTGAACGAACGAGTGGTCTACGTACAAAAAATATATTTATATAAAACAAAATGTATTATCTCAACATATACATATATTCATAAAAAACTTATTGAATTATTCGATACCAATTTTTTTACATTGTAGCTTTTTATCACACCTCAAGTCACATCTGCTCGTTCTGTCTGAGTCCGTTCGGCTCTGCTTTACATAATAAACCAATGCAAATGAGGCTTTTATAATATTTAAGTATTGTAGTAGTACAGCAAAGACTGAAGTTAATGAAAAAGTAACGGTTATTCTTAGGAATGATCCCGGCCAAACAATATTACTTGAAGTTCTTAGGCACAAAAGGATTGGACTTAAAAAATGATTAACACAACATGGATATTATTTGCATGTCCCAAACATCAAATAAGCATTAAGATATTTATAATTTAAAGCATCTTATGTTTTATTACTGAACATTAATTACGTATTGTCAATTGTGTCACTGATAAGCTGATAACCTCGTGAAGAGCTCTCAGTCGCCAAGTACAGATACTTTGGGAAACTCGTCAGCTGCCAAAAAATATAATTGATTTTTGTGTGAGTTATTTAACATATTTTAAAAATGTTGCGTCACTCATTTGTTTCGTTAAATTCCATAAGATTCTAACGAAAAGGTTGCCATTATTACCTATAATATATAATATATTTTGTTCAAATGTATAAACCGTTTTGTGTATCATCTTTGACTCAATTCTTTGTATAATTATTGTCTTGTTTATGTTAGCTGTACTACTAAATAAATAAATATCATGGAGTTATTACCATGACTTTTTATATATATATATATATATATATAAAATAACACAAACACAAAATACATTTAAATAAGTAAAATGGCTTTATTGCCATTTTGTAGCATTTTTAAACCTGCCTCGATGAGGTAGAAACTTACTGAATTTCGGAGATGCACTTAATTTTTATTAATTGAGTTTTGAGTTAAAAGGGGAATTTATGTTAAATTTAATTTTGCATTTGCGTCGTTATAATAGCGATAAAATGTGTAACCTGTAGGTATAATAGAAACCGTAAGAAATTCCGCAAGATAAAGCTATTATCAACTATATTTATATGGTTTTAATCACCATCAATCTTAATTCCTAAGATGATGAAGCACTTCATTCCAATTGAGTAAAAATTATCATCATTAGAAATCATTAGAAACTTTTGTGAAGTTCATGAGAATGCCTCTTCTATAATTTTTAAGTAATCCGTATTTTTAAGTTATCGTACCTGATAAAGCTCAATACAGAAACGACACGTAGCACGAATTACGAATCGTCTATACCATACGTTTTTGGAAGTCTTGCTCCTTTAGAATTATCGATCTCTTATGTATTTTAATTATCCAAATAACTATTTTCAGTATCACTTCAAGAAGCCATGAAGATCGGGTTTATTGGTGGCGGCAGGTTGGCCTTTGCATTGGCAAATGGATTTATTTCTGCCGGTTAGTATTTCCAATTACACAACAGAGGGCTTAAGTCACCATTGAACTTACAGGAAGTTCAGTGGTGACTTCAATTCCGATGATGACTTTTCATACCGACTTTTGAATGATGATGAATTTTTATATCGACTTTTGATTGATGATGACTTTTCATACGGTGTAATCCTACATAATTCGGGCCTCATTTTTATTGACGTCATATTGTAATCGGTACTTCGTAAGTGTGCGAATTCGTGAGCGTTAATTATGGAGAAGGGGAGTCGGGTTTACAGAGTAGCCCTGCAGAGCGTTATCTCTGATATTTACTTATACTGTTAGATAAATAATATGTATGTTGACTGAATCAAGTTTATTGTCGCTGGTTATCTTTCGTCTGCGTCATATAAGCCGCTTTAATTCAAAATATAATTATACGATTTTGTAAAGATGCTAATACTATACCAACACGTTGCGATCCATCCAATTTAATAAATGAATTTTGTAACATATTGGTGAAATATAACGGGCGTAGATCATTCTTCATATTTTTGGTGTTTGGCTGTTTATTTAACGTTCACGTTGATATTCATAGTCTATATATACATTTGGTTAAGCCATAATTAGGGCATCGGCAAGGAATGCTTAAAATATCATGGTAAAATACTGTATAACGAAATGTAGTTATACATAAATAAACTAGATGGCGCTGCATGCATTAAAAACATTGCAAACCTAATGCGTGTAGAGTGTAGACTATACGTGTTTTTTGTACACCACCAAAGAAACAAAGTAATATTAAAACAGTTAATTATTCGTAAATCATAAAATGTTATGTTGTAAAAATAAAATTAATGATCAATTTGTTATCTACTCTTGTTCCGAATATGTTTCTAAACAAGCTTCAACTTAAGTTGTAATTTGTAAATACACCTGTAATCATAGTATTTTGTGACTTTAGTCGAAGTATATAAGTATTCTAGAAATACATATTTATATTTTTAGGATTAGCAAAACCTGATGAAATCACAGCCAGTGTCCATCCTGCAGATGTAGCCAGCGCTGAGGCTTTTAAGGTAACCTAATTAAATTAAATATATTAATACAATAATAACTTACACCATTAAGGGATTTAAAACAACAAATATGGATTATAATTAAATAATTGACTTAAAAAAGAATAATATCCTTTAATAACAGAATGTCTATTATGGTAATTATAGACGTTTTAATTCTACTTTGTTCAATCAGTGAACACTTTAATTTTAATTTCCAAGAAAAGGAACTGTATTTACTGATTACCAAGTTATATAGGAGAAACCCGTGGCGCTACAATCTTTTTAGGTCTGGGTCTCAGATTTCTCTATCTCTTTCATGATCATTTGTCAATCCAATAGGCATCATCATCAATAGATGATCAGCATCCTGTGCCTGACACACACCTTCGACTGTTTGTGTCTAACGCAAGCCGATTTCCTCACGATGTTTTCCAACACCGTTTGAGCGAATGTTAAATGCTTACATAAACAGAAAATCCATTGGTCCGCAGCCGGGGATCGAACCAAAGACCTGAGGGATGGGAGTCGCAAGCTGAAGCCACTAGGCCAACACTGCTTTCTGCTGCTTAAATATGAGATTTAGTATTACATTTTATCATAGTAAATAAGATGTTTGAAAATTTCAGTCTTTAGGAGCAACCGCCATTTTTGAAAACAAGTCAGTAGTGGAGAGATCTGAAGTAGTCATCGTGTCAGTGAAGCCTGATGTTGTTGGTCCAGCATTGCGGGAAATTAAAGATCTCCAGGCGTCTAAAAACAAATTGTTTATATCCGTCGCAATGGGAGTTTCCATTACGAGCATAGAGAAGGTAATATATTGCATGCATGCATTTATTATATGTAAAGATTTGTTTAATGGCGTAAATAGAACTTTATATTTAGCGAGTAAGTTAGTTATAAGCTGTAAATCTTTTTCAATTAATAAAATAAAACATCTTAGGAGGCTCAAAAGAAAGCTCTTAAACAGAATTATATTTCCATAATAGTATAATATAGAATATGTAATTGGTTACTAAATCAGATGATAAGTTACAGGGCTTAATAATAAAAATCTCTTAAGCCAAAACACGAGGGGCTTAATCGATTCGTAATCGATTTTATTAAGTTTCGCCTTTTATCGATTTTACAAAATTATTAAAATACCCTATACATTGGCGTTTACCCGCATCACTAGTATCGATACACATTTTACGCAGACGTTACCATGTAATATTTATTCTTATTCATACAAGGGTCCCATAATCAAAATTTCAGGTTCTTCCACCAGAAGCCAGAGTAATAAGAGTAATGCCAAACACACCAGCACTTGTAACGCAAGGTGCTGCAGCTTTCAGTAGGGGCTCCAGAGCTACAGCAGAAGACGCTAAAGTTACAACAGAGCTATTCAAAGCTGTTGGCACCTGTGATGAAGTGCCTGAGTACCAAATGGACGCTGTTACAGCTTTAAGTGGAAGTGGACCTGCCTATGTGAGTTAAAATATTGTGACATGAAAATATATCAAGGGTGACTTGTTGCAGTTTTCGAAGTTATTCCATTTATTTGGACAAAATTTCGTCAAAAAATTTGATAAGAGCACGAAATGAATCCAGAGTAAAGTTATTCTATTGTTTAACATTGTTGGCAACATAGGCAGGAGTGATTTTTTCTGACCTTCTGCTACAGACACGCGATATTCATCTTGGAGAGTGTTATAAAAATATAGACTGGGGGGGAAGAGTGGGACTTGAGGTTTCTACAGTAAGATACCTTTTTCGTTATGTGGACAAAACTGTTATTATAGTTCGATAGGTATGAAACAGAAATGAAAAAATTAAAAGTATATTATTTTATAAATAAATGAAATGAGCCGATTATAAGAAATATTATATTAGTTGGTTCCACGCTGGTATGTTTTCGCACAGACTCTCCACAATACTTACATACAGTACAGACAATGTAAATACATTAAGGATTTAATAACACCAGTGTTACCAGTTCCACTGAACCAACATAGCTCGAAAGTAACACAGTATACCATATACCATATAATGTTGCCATCTTGTCCAGGTGTATATGCTGATAGAATCCCTAGCTGACGGAGGAGTCAGATGTGGGCTACCTAGGGATTTGGCTCTTCGTCTTGCAACACAGACGACCTTAGGGTCCGCATCTATGCTTAAGAACGGAGGCCATCCAGCTGCAATGAAAGATAATGTGACTTCCCCTGGCGGTTCAACTGCAGAAGGAACTTACCATTTAGAACAAAATGGTAATATTCTATTGTTAAATATAAAATATTCTGTTAAATATTATAATTTTTGTTTCAACTGCAATGTCTCAAAGGCCTATGCAATAATACCTTAAAACCTTTTTTGGTTTTGTACTTAAACAGCAATACTTTAGAGTAATGTTCCTGAAAATATATAATTTATAATGATAATAATAATTAATCTAAAATATCTATTCTATTTTAGGTTTCCGCTCAGCGGTTATTGGAGCAGTAATGGCAGCATCTAATCGTTGCAAGGTGGTAAATGAAACATTGAACAAGTGAACAACCTGTGGTAGATACGTTAAGTAAATTCCTTACGTTGATTATTTGTACTTGCAAGATTTCCGTTGAAATAATTTATCCCGTAATAGCAATATACCACCTTTGCTATACCTACTTTTTAAAGAAAATAAAAAAAAATATATTAAAGTACATCTAAAATAATCCTACATACAAGTTTAAAATAAAACCAAAATAAAATTATCAATTCATTCAGACTTTCATTTTAATATCTAAATCGGCCTAAGAACTTTTTTAAGAAACCTTTTTTAAAACATCTCTACTACTTTAAATGTTTTAATTGGTAAAAAATTGTCAAGGCACTATAATTTAGAATAAGAACTATAATACTTATAATTCCAAACCAGAAGGAGCCAACAGCTGGTAATGGAATTATGTTACATACTATTACATATTATTTTTTATCGTTTATAATGCTCCATGCTGTTTTATACATGTTTTGAATGCTAATTATTTTATGTATGCCTTCTAAAAACAAGCAATGGTAGGGAAAATGAACTAGCAAAACTGGCAACATTAACAACACGGACCCTGCCCAATTTGCAAGGTGGTAAATGAAACATTGAACAAGTGAACAACCTGTGGTAGATACGTTAAGTAAATTCCTTACGTTGATTATTTGTACTTGCAAGATTTCCGTTGAAATAATTTATCCCGTAATAGCAATATACCACCTTTGCTATACCTACTTTTTAAAGAAAATAAAAAAAAATATATTAAAGTACATCTAAAATAATCCTACATACAAGTTTAAAATAAAACCAAAATAAAATTATCAATTCATTCAGACTTTCATTTTAATATCTAAATCGGCCTAAGAACTTTTTTAAGAAACCTTTTTTAAAACATCTCTACTACTTTAAATGTTTTAATTGGTAAAAAATTGTCAAGGCACTATAATTTAGAATAAGAACTATAATACTTATAATTCCAAACCAGAAGGAGCCAACAGCTGGTAATGGAATTATGTTACATACTATTACATATATTTTTTTAATCGTTTATAATGCTCCATGCTGTTTTATACATGTTTTGAATGCTAATTATTTTATGTATGCCTTCTAAAAACAAGCAATGGTAGGGAAAATGAACTAGCAAAACTGGCAACATTAACAACACGGACCCTGCCCAATTGTCAACATTATATTTTACAATTAAAAGAAATTGACTAGGTTTGAATAAAATGAGATGTAAATGAACTGCAGTGTAATCTCAAATTGTTTTTTTTTATATTTCCAGCTTCATTTGTAAAAAAACTGCAGTAGGGTATGCATCGTTAGTACCGGGTACACGGTCGCTTTAAGAGATAGGGTATATGTATATTGAATGAATTCCGTTTAACTATTTAACTATATTACTATATACATTATTTTGGACTTCGCAACAGCAATGAAGCTTTGCTAACGTTTCCAAGAGGGTTTAAATGTATTTCGTGAAATATATTGTATAGAGTTAGTAACGCTAATCGACAGACAGCAGATAATGCAAGTTCTGCTAGAATGAGTATTTATTCTATGAAATACATAGTATATAGAATTTATTGTGTTTAAAGAATTTATAAAAGGGTAGCACGTCGTTTAGGTTGAACAATTATTACTAATATGGGATACAACATGTTGTGACACGTATTACATATTATCTCAAAAAGTTCATATTATATGATATGATAATAGACACTTAATTTGGTTGATGTTTGTTTTGACAAAGGTTTAATGAGTAATTTTGACTGAAGTTTCAGAGGTGAAAAGTTGATTTTCCACTAAAACTTTAACTTTAGAAAATATGGTTCTGACTAATTATGAATATGCCAATGCAAAAATTGTGTATCTACTTACGAAATTTAATTGACAATTAGCGGTGTAAGTGACATACGCAGTGCACAACTTATTAAAAATTATTAAAAGTATGTTGACACTTGACAGACTTGGTCTTGACACACGCGCAGTATAGCGCAATTATACGGTAAATAAATTCATTTGGAATGTTATCTGTAGTGCAATTGTGCCGCGCAGTGTTACCTATGACCTATCTCTTCAGAGTTCAGTACGTAGTTTTAAACGTAAATGGGGATCTTTGAATTAAAACCATTCATCTGAATAATTTACTTCCGGCAAATGCCGATCTATTTTGTTACATTACGAACCAGGTAAACTACTTGAATTAGAGCTCAAATCAGGCAGAACGGCGGTTTGCGACCTTGTGAATTGTGATGCTACGTCTACTATTGTGATTTGTTGTTACGCCCGGTTTTTTGCTAGTCAAGTGTTGAACAAGTTGTTGAGCGGTGCTGTACAATGTTATCGGAAGACTCAATATATGATTTTATCAATTTAATCCGTTGAAAGTTCCCAATGTTCCTATTTGGTAGCATCTGACCTTAGTTTTAAGTAAGAATTCGCGACCCACGCCGCGTAATAAAACTCCTACGCGCCACCAAGAAATTAAGTGTCTTGTAACTAAAAAACGACAGAATGTTAACAAAACTAGTCGATTCCTAGAGTAACTTTTCAGTAATTTCAGTGTGTTAATAATATACGTTATATTATGAACAAGTGATATTATTTACAGATTTAAGTGTTGTAAGATGGTAATAGCATTATTTGTGGAGTAACTACTGATTTTATAAAGTTGTCAAGGTTGAAATACACTTTTAAGGAATAAGCTTCTCATTATTGGAACAGATGGCATAAATTGTAGTTAATTACTATTCTACAACCTTCTTTTAATTAGATTATTCTAAATCTATATCCTTTAACACAGTACTTATCTAATAAGGTGATTGTGTTAAAGAAGAAATCAGATCCATTTGAACTAAGTTCATTATGGTGATCTATCTATATGATATCTTTTATGTAACAATTTTTTTTGCAGATAATGATTAATATGAAAGTGGGTTTGGACATTGTACTTAGTGTTGTAGACCTAAAATAAAGAAATCAACCAATCTGTTATGCTACAAAGTGAGAATGGATGAAAATGATATCATAATTTCTTCTACAGAGATAATTAAAGGTAACTAATTGTAACTTCAATTTTTGCTTTTTACATGTATCAGTAAAAATATTACTTAATCTGTGTTCTCTTTATTGCGAAGAAATTTATATCAAATTAAATTACTAATAGCTGCTCCCTCCTAATACACAATTGTTATAATATGATAATTCAAGTTTAATATATAAGTATATATATATTTTAAAATTAATTATAGTTGTAAAATTTACTCAATTTAATTAACACTTGACAACTTGACATCCTTCTAACATGGAAAAAAATACATAACTTTTTACTACCACAATGTTGATCAAGGAACAGCAATTTACAGATGATATTTTAAAAATATAACAGCCTATTTATTATCTATAAATATTTAAGTTATTGGTTAGTTATTAAATATAATTTTAAATATGTGGGAGTCATAAACTGTTGAAGTAACACAGTGACATCAACATCAATAAAGGGAATTACATCAGATGACAGTTACAAAGCTTCTAAGTGACCTTCAGGTTTTATGTAATCCATTACAAATTGTTTGTCAAGGTTCCTCTAAGTATTGGCAATGATATTAGTTCCTTTAAAATTGTGTCTATCAATTAGTTTTGGTATGAATCTAGTTTTCTATTTAAATATAAAGACATGTAAATTCTTATTGGAAAACAGGCTAGACAAATTTGGGGACTTTTTATTTAATTTTTAACTAAGGCAACACAAGTTGTTCTATTTGTAATATCTAACTTTGTAAATGGCTGAGTGTTAAAACCATTTATGAAATTTTATTCTCCAGATGTAACAATTATTTAGCAACACAGAAGATCATGTCAGTTTTAGTAAATTAATACTACTTATAGAGTTTTTCCTAAAGATAGTAAACTTACTTTTTCTTCGATTACTTCGTAACAGGTTATAATAGTTTTCACTTTTATGACTTTTTAAGGCAGTACTTGTGCTTCAACCGTTGCATTGAAAGTATCTACAATATACATATAAAAAGATTTTGTTTGAGTGAAAACTCATGCAATACATAGAATAGTTATAATAATATAACTTAATATAAATAGTATCAATAAAGATGGTGATATCCGTTAAAAGTACATCTATTTCAATTTTGCTATGAAATAAACCTGAAATATATATGCATTAAATAATCACCCTAAGGATAGTCAATAAACTTCAAAAAATTCGAAGCAGAAGATTATCCATTTAACATGTTTTTTGTATATAAAATTACATTGTTATCATTTGAATACTTATTATGCTTGATAACATAACTTACTTTAAATATCTTCTGAAATTTAATTTATTAAGTTTTCAAAATTTTTATTATTAAACTTTTTTTTCTTATAATATCTAAAATTTTCAAACTTTTCTTATAATATCGCGATCTCATAATTTTAAGTTTACACGCAACTGTGGTTGTTATACAACCTATGTTTTATTTAATATTTCACCTTTAAGCTAATCTGCTGACTCGGTTCCGATATATATTGCCTAGTGGTTTCGTGCTATTCTCATTACTGAGGTTATTTGTTTCAACACTAATTAACAAAAGTCAACGACGTGTCATACAACAGAATATACTGACCTACGTGCATATAAAGGAAATTGAAACAAATGATTTGTACCAAACCTATGTCTCAGGCACATTTCTATGTCTCCTTGTTCAATTAAATTCAATTAGCGATCAGATTTCACAGCCTACAAACTAGATCCAATTACTGTTTCACTCTGTACCATTATCTGTAAGAAAGAGTTGTAATTGTGTACTCAAGCATGTATAAGACATCCACTCTTGTGCGTTTTAAATACATGGGCATGTTCTAAGTCCATAACTTTTTATGTATATAAAATATGCAAACCACATAGCATTTGCCATTACGTTGCAGCGCCGACTTACCGGTAATTTGCATACATTATGCATGGTGTTTTTCAAAGATAAGAAAATAGAAACATTAAAAAGATCTATGAACTTTCTTTCTCTTTCTAGGTTCTGTTAAAGTTCTTCAATAAAGAAAAATAAGTACATATTTACTTTTTCATCTAAAGCTAGTACCTATATTCAGCACTAATTTCAGAGAGAGATAATTAGGCCCATAACCCAAAAATCTCTGATTTCTTTGTATGTTTTATAAAACAAACGTAAATATCAGGAACAATATGATTTATTCAGGTTTAAAATAACATTTACCATATCAAAGGTTGCTTTAAGCACGGCAAATTGCTGTACAATCATGTTATTCACTGTTTTATACCGTAACATATTTTAATGTAAGCCTAGATTTATAAATAAATACCGGCTTCATGATTGAGCAAAGTACTTGGTCGATTTTACGCTGGAAGTACAAAATTCGATTTCTAGTAAAACTGTTTACGATTTTTACGAATATCATAATTAAATATTAAACAAAAATATAGTAAAAAATGCCAGCTAAATTGAAATCTTTAAAGATTTTATTTACAACCCTTTAACTATCAGACTATTCGTTACGATAAAAATTTATTAATTTAAAAATTGACTTCACACCTGATTAGTAGTTATAAGTTTAAAAACTTGACTTTGACCTATGCTTTTTTAATATTTAAATATTCCAAGTGACCTGCATATTTACAATTTAAATCAAGCCTCCGCATGTTCTAAATTCAAAAATAGGCATCGCTTCCTACCCTACACATGCAATGATGTAGGGTGCAAGTGTTGGAGTGCCCTTGAAGTTATGTAACGTATGGCCCAAGGACAGGCGGAAAAAATATTTGCATTTGGTTATCTTTGAATATCTAATGAGCTGTATCTCGTGATTTTTCGGAATAGAATTCGCAATAAACAATATAAAAAATTAGGTTAAATTCGGAAATCAAGCATGCGTCTATTGTCATTGTTATGTATGTGCCTTCCAAAGGAAAATACAGATAGAAGTCTAATACAACATTGATTTAAATAGGCATTATAAACACATTATCACTAATGTTCACGATAGTTCAAGTAATGCTATTTTTATCCTGGTTATAACCGAGTTTGTTCTCGTTGAAAAAACTACATGTACAGGTTGTTATATGAAATTGCTTAAGTCGTTATTCTATGGTCTAGGTCTTATCAATTTTCCCTGTTACGTTGCATGTAAATAATAGTATGCGAAATTACCTCTTAAATGGTGCAGGGTTACCTGTCAAGAGTTGAAACGCCATTCTAGCGTTAATTAGAATTTGATCAATTTCATCGTTCTCCTTGAAATGTGGGCTAGTGTGCTGATTTTGGCATCGATTTTTTTTCAAGGTTTGTAAGTTGGTGTAAAGACGAAAGTTTTACTACTTTGCTACCGACTTACACCTATAAAGTTGAAGCAATTTCAAAGAAATATGATCTCTAATGAGTTTACTAAGTATGAAACGTAACATACAATATTGTTTGTCAAAACTTATGTATCTCTGTAAAAGTATTTTTTAATACTAATATTTCACGCATTACCTTATAGTATTTTGTCGATTTATTGTTGGTTTTGTCGAATATAACAAATATATATATATATATACGTATCATAATGAGATTCGCTGTTGACCGTAGCTATTAGACTCTTTTTCATAGAACAGGTGGCAAACGGACAGGCTAAGGGTTAAGTTATACCGCCCCGCCCGCGCTGCCCATGGACACTAATCTACTAACAATTTTACAAATATAAGCATTTGTTCTTTTGACTTCATCTATCTATTCAACAAACTGTGCATTGTAATTAAATATTCAAGATATAATGCAAACATTTAAAATGCATGTAACAATATCAACACAGCGTCGTAATTGGTCGTTTAATAATTACGGAGCCAATTCCGACTATTTTTAATGCATGTACCAATTAACGTGGTCAGCGAATATTAATGACATTCGAGCAGAGATGACTTCAATTAAAAGTTGTGTCAATATACGTGAGGTGTCATTGCCTAAATTGGAGTACGATTTTTTATTAATACCATTAGTACATGTGTGTATATATTTGTAAATAGTTTGGAAAATCCAAAAGTGCACGCCTCATAGCGGTCATTCACATTTAAAAAAAAACTTAAACAAAAACTCAAGTTTTTTAAAACAAAATAACAAAAAAAAATTTAAACGAATGATTGAAAAAAACAATAATATAATAAAAAAATATATTAAAATATATTTAAAGTAAGTTTTTTACAAATTATAATTAAACGACAGTACTTAGAACGCTAATATTAACTAGGAATCAGCTCAGGATATAACTTTATATAATAAAGAAAAAAAGTATTCTGTTACGATAAATTTTTCGACCAATTCCTCTGCCACATATACATGGATCCATAAACACAGACTGACGGACGTCCAAGAATGATTGATTATAATGTTATTATTTACTAATTACTATGTTAAACAAAATAATTGATCATAAAAAATACCATATGTGCTTGATAGATTATTTAACTCGATTTTAGTGCACTCATATTATCCTGTAAGTGTTATATTAGTGAGAAAAAAGTCATTCAAGTTTCGAAAGACTGGGTTTTTTGACATGTCGAGAGTAGAGCACTGCCGAGGCGTACAATTAATAGGTACATAAATTATCATATCGATCGCATCTTCGATTATTGCTTAAAAAATTGCACCTTTCCGTGTGATGCTTTTCTTTACAGTATGAGCAAGTGTTAATTGGGCACTTAGAATGTACATAAGTACACAGCTGGGATTCAAACGTACGACCTCAGTCCTTAAGATCATGTTTAATCTTTAAAGTACTCTTTATTAAAATTATGTTTACTGTAAATTATTTTACAGTTTGCTTAAACGAAAAATTCACCCTTTAGGTTTTATTAATATAAGTGCAGACTTTTACAAATCTAAGTCTGAAAACTATTAAATGTTATTTCTTTAGGTGGAGATAGACAGAATTACTTAGAAGCATGCGATAGTTCAGTTTTGCGAATTGAAAGAGTATTTCATTTCGTAAGCAATTCAAAGTCTGATTGAATTTAAAAGAAAACCTGGTAAAGCTTTCAAATCAATTTAGGAAAAGGTTTGTCGTGTATTGGCTATTAGAATTCTGTTGCTTTGCCTGATATGTATCTTGATAAAGAAATATAAAAAAAGGCCAAAGCGAAAGAAAATCGGAACAAAATAAACTTAAAACTAGGTATAATAATATAATGTTGCTCTTAACTAATACATGTGGTTATTTTTTTTTCAGATAGATTATATTTCGCAACACTCAAAACTGGTTACAAACCAAAGCCTACGCGCAATAGTAAATACTTCCACATTGAAGATGAGATTGTATATGAAAACTTCTACTATGATTTTGGACCTTATCATCTGTGCCATTTGTATCAATTTTGCAACAAGCTTAATGAAGAATTGGAGAAGAATCCGAAGAAAAAGATCGTCTTCTACACCAGCAATAGTGAAACTCTTAGGCTTAACGCGGCCTATCTTATTGGGAGTTATCAGGTTAGATATTTAGGCATTGATGATTATGGGAATTGTGCCTAAAAAGAAGAATATTTATTTTTATATTAGCAGGTCAGGTTCATTGCTCGTCTTTATAATTCAACATCTATATATTACTAGCTGATCCGGCAAACGTCGTTTTGCCATGATTATCATTTATAATAAAAAATAGGGGTTGATCGAAGAGGGGTGAAAATTAGGGGTTGTATGTATTTTTTAATGCTGTATCATAAAAAAATTATCTAAAATTAAAAAAAAAAAATTAGGGGTGGACTACCCTTAACATTTAGGGGGATGAAAAATAGATGTTGTCCGATTCTCAGTTATACCCAATATGCACACAAAATTTCATGAGAATCGGTCAAGCCGTTTCGGATCAGTTTCACCACAAACACCGCGACACGAGAATTTTATATATTAGATTAGATATATCCCTTATGTAAACCTTAAACTGTAAATGCCCGTTTTTTTTACTTTATTTGACTCGTCTCTTTTCACACAATTTGACAGATTAAGAAAGACAAAAAAGTACTTTAGTTAGAAGTGTGCGATAACACTGATTTAGTTTCTATAAATAAGGGGTTTAGATGTATATAAATATTTATCGAAGTTAAACTTATATAGTTAATTCATTTTGATATAAAATTTTAAATCCGTAATAAATTAAATTTTGGTTTTATAATAACTGCTACTTGTATGGAAAATTGAAAAAAAACAAATGCTTTCGTACAGTAGCTAGTAACGTAAAAAATATTTTTTATACAATAAATTGCGTAGGCAACAGAGCTTACGTCGGTCATCAGTGTTTTAGATTAACGTTTTATTGGATAATCGACTTGCGTGGGACGTTGTATCGTATCTACTTTAGCAAAATTACAGTTTGATTGTATTGGCTTAGATGTTATTTGTCTAATTCAATATATTACTATGTAATATATTACTAGAAAAAGTTGTGGAATGTGCAAGAGCATATTTTAGCCCCTAACAGTCGAGGAAACGGCAGAGCCTTAATCACCATAAGTAATGAATGGGTCGAGGAAAAATAGTTTTATTTATATATTTGATTAATGTATGTATTTTACGCTAGAAGAGCATTAGTCAATTATTGATTTCATATGAGTCAAATCACTAGTGTTATCAAATTCTAGCCTTTAGAAGAATTATCACTAAAAGCACCATTAACTAATCATGAAAGTTCACTATCATAGGTATCAGACAGTATTTATTTGTAATTATTCTACTATGTTTGTTGAAAACGTTCGCGATAACTACAGAATATATGAAGCGTTCTAGAACCTTTAATACATATTACAGCAACGAAACGTCAGCAATATACCGAATTCACTTAATCTGATTGTTTGGATTAAACTTTGGCTCTTTGAATATTGAGATATTTGTTTTGTTGATGCTTTCATTTTGTTATTATGGTCTAAGATCCCGCTATACAACGACCTTCACCGAGATGCTTATTTAATTAAACTTATTTTATATTTAATTTAATATGTCAATAAATATAATCCATATGGGTTGCCTAGCAAATTTCAGTCCAGAGTATTTTAATTAATATTTAAAAAAATATATTTTTTTAAACATTTCACCGGTATGATTATTAGATAAATTCTATACCAATCGAAAGTATAAAGCCCATAGAATATGCAAACGTTAGGTTGTTTTTAATCAATTAATTATTTATGTGTATATTTTTTATGTGACACTAAAGTATATAATATACATCTTTAGTATAAAAGAAGGTTATATTGATACATATATAATACTACCCTGATTAAAAATATTGATTGAAAAAAATTTACTACATGCAAATTATAAAAAACTTTTTTTTTTTAAATATTAATTAAACATACTCTGGACTGAAATTTGCTAGACAACCCATATTGACATATTAAATTAAATATAAAATAAGTTTCATTAAATAAGCATCTCGGTGAAGGTCGTTGTATAGCGGGATCTTATACTATTAGCTTAAACTTGGTGGCATTATTGCTATAATTTTCCGTGTCTAAGTTATTATATAATTATGTGAAATAGTTTACAAAAAATTTTTTAATTTCATTTGCGATTCTCAGAGCCTTAAGCGCATTTTATTAACAACTTTTAAGTAACAAAACATTCCAAACATTTTTTTGATTCCAGATAATATATCTGGGCTCCTCCCCTGGTACGGTCTACAAGCAGCTAACAGAAGGCACATGGTCCTTATTAAATTTCCGTGATGCGTCTGGCGGACCAGCGCTCTTCGATATATCGCTTCTAGATGTGCTGCAGGGCATCAAAGTGGCTCATGATGCGAAATTCTTTGACTTCGAGCACTTTGATACGGAACAGTATTTGTTTTATGAGGTACGAAATGTTAAAGACCTTCTCAATCCGACAATTTTTAGAAGGATTTATTAGTCAGTATATTTAGTCAGGGACTCGACAATAATATGTCTGGTTATTGCTTCATTGTACACTTAAGTGTCTTCACATTTCTTTTTTTAATTAAAGGTCAATTGTTGAAATCTTCTTATCCATACAAAACAATTCTGAGTTTCGTTTAGTAGTTAAGTAGGTATCTAGTTCTCCTACATTAGATTTTCCAAGATATTAATTTATTTTTATCGCAAACCTGCAACGGTGCTCCTAACTACCTTCTTAATTGGATTTATTTGAAACTTTATCACGATATACGGAATTGAGAATATATAATATTGTATTTGTGACCATAAAATTTGCAGAAAGTAGAAAACGGTGATCTCAACTGGATAATACCCGGGAAAATGCTGGCGTTTTCCGGTCCCCACCATCGCTCGCGTTTGGATCGGGGTTACCCCCTACATAGCCCGGAACACTACCACGAATATTTCAAGAAGCACCACGTGACCACCATCGTCCGGCTAAACAAAAAATCATATGATGCAAGGCAGTTTACGGCGTATGGGTTTGAGCATAGGGAATTGTTTTTTGTGGACGGTTCGGTGCCTTCGGATCTGATAGTCAACAGGTTTATAAGGATCTCTGAGGTGGCGAAGGGCGCTGTTGCTGTACATTGTAAAGGTAATTCTGTTAATATTATCTGTGCTTTAATTAACATTTATTTGGGATGGGTTCTCATAAACATTCTGTTTGGAACACACAGTTGTTAGAAGTATTTCCATTTCAGCTTTTTACTGTACTGAGCTTCTAAAAATTGTACAATAAATGCTCTTGAACAATGGAAAATGCAAATATAATAGAAGTCTTAATTTATTTTAACTAAGATAGAAAATAATTATAGATGTTTATATAAATAAATATATATAATAGTTATTAAGCTTACGACATCACACACAGTACTAAATCTACTAATTATTTTACAAAATCTTACATCTAAAATGTGTGACAATTAATGTAAACATAAGTTTCACAAAAAAAAATATAAATAAAAAATTAAAAAAATACAATTAAAACATATACGATAATACAAGCACACAATAAAATAAAATAAAGTTATATACATTTGTCGGCACTTAGAGCAGAAAAGAAAGAAAAATCATCTGCAAAACAGCAAAATTAGGTTCGAGAAAGGCACCGCACAATGCTTTCTCTAAAACCGATCAGCCCACTGCCGAATATATCCAGCTCCGGATAAGCTGTGTTCAATCCGTTTAAAATCGCGAAGAATTCGAATTCGATGTTAAACACGAGTGATAAATAAGGTTTTGTCGAAATACATAAAAAATTGTCAGCGAATTGTATGTATGCGCCTATTATACGAGTATATATAACTCCTTAACTACTACAGCAAATTTGATAATTTTTTTGTATACGTTATTATACAGGGCAAATAGAAGAGATTTTTTTTAAATACTTATATCACGCTTAACCCGAATTACGGGTAAAACCGGATTGCATAAAACGTTTGATGATAAAAATGATAAAAAAATATATTTTTTCAGCTGGTCTTGGCCGTACAGGAACTCTGATAGCATGCTACATGATGAAGCACCATGCCTTCACAGCTCGAGAGGCTATCGCCTGGCTGCGGATCTGCAGACCTGGATCTGTTATTGGACACCAGCAGTGGTTCCTTGAGAAGTGAGTACGATACAAATAATAGACGACACCATATTAAAATCATCTTTGTTTCGATACTTAATCTTTTACGTAAGCCTCTAGTGGTATATTACCATTTTAACAGGAAACTATTGCATAGAAGCAAGAGTCAGTATCAAAAAAAATATGCATGTCTCTGCCGAACCATTTAAAAGCCTGTGTTTTTACAACTGCATACTATTTATTTTACTTGGCATATTTAAAATTAAAGTGCATTATAAAGCCAAAATATTTTTCAGCATTCAACCTCGGATGCATGCAGAAGGAGATGCACACCGTCGAAGGCACAACATCACGTGCCTACCTGTGTTTGCACGAGGGATATACAGCGACTTGGCCCCGGAGCCGGTGCCAATACAAGACAAACCAGTTTCGTTGCAGACCATATTACACGCCAAAAACGCTAATACCAATAAGGTAGGCTTTTTATGACGATAACTGATTTCATATTAAAGTGGTAAACCCAAATTGATATTTTTTTAGAGATACGATTGACTGTAACCGTCCATTATTAGTTATGCTTGTAGTCCCGAATTCGTATTGGAGCGCTAATATTATTTAGAATTCAAAGGAGAGGAAAAACTTTTAGCCATCCTTAATTCATAAACTGGACACATGTTTCACCTTATTAAGTAATAAAATATGAATCCTTTTAAACCCAGTTAGGATTAATTGCATATTACAGGGAAAGCTGAACAAAATGACATCGACTGTGAATGTCGACTTAAAATGATTTTACTTCTTTCTGTATTCCAGCTGGACAATGCCAATGCACTTAACGGAAACGAGACAGATCGAGAAAACAATATAACGCCAGTCATTGGCAAGTACAAGACTACCGCCTCTCCGATGTTACCTGTGAAAGTGTTCACACCAAAAATGAACTATATGCTACCCACAAACAATGTAAAGAACGCCAATAACACCAACCTCAAACCACAGCCGAGATTAATAAACTCAACGATTAAATCTCACTACGCGGCCAAAACATCCACTTTCCCCCCTACGAGAGGTGCCAACTCCCAAGCCAAATTAACTGGGGTCAAAGCTCAATTTACGGGCAAAAACAGCTTCCACGGCCGTGCCAATCTTGCGCGACCGGCAAACTACACTCACGGCGCAAGCCCCATCAAGACATTTACCAGAAAAGCCATGAGTGTCACAAAAATGACGTCAAGCGATACAAACGCCGTCACAACCGTCAGCAATGTTACCACAACTTTGACAACGCTGACAGAAAATTGTCATTTGAATGGCAAAAACCGTCTTCCATCAGAGCCGAATCTCAAAGCTACACCAAAAACTCCCGTAATAAACAGTGCCAGGAAGAAAATGATTGTTCGATCAAATTCCAGTTCTCGTAAAAAGCTTCCTAAAAGTGTCCCCAAAAGCAATCTCGAAGCGAGCCAAGAGCTATCATCGAGCGATACCAATATAACCAACATCTCTGTCGATTCCCTGGACACACCCTTCAGGTTCAGACGAAAACGGGATAAATCTAAAAGTCCCGAACCGATGGACACCTTATCTAACTCAGTTATAACGGCTGATGTGACTCCAGAAAACTACGAGGAGACAAATAATTCTCAAGGGAATAAGTTGTATAAAATTAAGGCATTACGAAAAAAATGTCCCGCATTCGGTGTGAGCTTACTGAAGAAAGAGGGTGTCCAAACCAGATCGAGTAGTTGCGCTAGCGGTTCAACCGTTAAGAAGAAATGATCTCTACTTAGCGTAGCGAGTTAGTTATAGTTGTGCATAGCACATGTTGTATTTGTTTTAGGCAACTCGAAAGACATTTTTGATAATCTATTGGAATCAAATGCATATTTACAACATTTATCTATGAAAACGATTTCGCTATCATCGATTGGACAATGAATTTCTATTATAATTATGTTATCAAAAATGATCCTTCGAGCCGGATTGGTAGGTTTGTTTAGATTCGTGCCGACTGACTCGTTAACCCATATCACGTTTGTTCCCTAATAAAAAGGTTTTCTAAACAAATTTATCAATTAAGTAATCGCTTTATAGACCCCAATAATTTCTAAAATACGAAGATCCGTGGGCGTTTTTTTGTTAATTTAATGGTTTTTATATATTCGGACTACCTAATGTAATTATTTAATTTTGCATTTGTAAACAGATGTATATTTTAAACGTATATTAATGGGAAATTCATGAGGTTTATATTAAAAAGTTACATATATCGTGAGAGGCGCCCGCGATTACGTATATTAGTAAAATGCCTAAATGTTTATTATATTTCATATTATATAGATATAAGTGGTTGAATGTCCAATAATTAGTTGTGTTAAGTTTCAAAACTGTTTTGCATTCTATATTTTTACCCACCTTTATCTATATTCTTTTTTTTTATTATTTTCATTTAAAACAATTTATACATATTTACAGTATATTGTCGCGTTTCAATTAATACATAATTCAATAAAAAAAAAGATTTATATTTTTTGTTCTAAAAGAGCATCATTTTGTTATAACCTAAATTTATTATAAAATTTTATGTTATTTTGAAAGTGCTTTGTATTTTATTTTTATTTTATATATAAAAACTTAAAGAGTTATTGGAATTTCAATTTAGTTGTTAAGATTACATATTTTTGTAATATAATTATTTTTATTGTTAGTTTATAAATGCCATTTAAGCTTTTTAAGGCTTCCTTGTTATACTTAACATGATTTATTGTATCTTAGTTTTTGCAATATTTTGCACGAGTTAATAGTTATTTAATAGTTAACTTACATTAAGTATGTTACTAAGTAATCCCATTATTTTGATTTAAAATTATAATAGAGTCATTGAATTATATAATATATAAAATACAGTCGAATTTATAGTCATATCACTATATTTTTCGTTATATCATCCTGGATTTTGTTTCGAAAATGATATGTTGAGGTTAGAAGCAGTATTATTATCAAAAAGTAAACTCAATTCGCTAGAAAATAATTCTTTATAGGTACTTGTCATTTTATTTGTATTTCATTGTAATCATTTAAATATTTTATTTGTACTCTAATACAAAAGGAGTTAAAAAACGTATCTTTTTATCATAAGAAATACATTTAATTGTTTGTAAAAACTTTCCAATAACAACAGCAACCACCAGTTATTAAGTTTACTGAATGCTGCACATGACGTCAATATATATTTTCAATAGGTAAGATAAGTATAAAGTGTCCCAAACTAATTGTAGTGAAACTTTACAAGATAATGTAAACAAAATTTATATTAGTTGTGTTGTAATATAAGACTGTTGTTTATGCCATTTTTAATACTTTATCTAGTGTGTGGTACTTACAATATTAAAAAACATTCAACTATACGGTGTTGGCTTAAAACATAATGATTTTTTATTAATAACATGCTCTGTCTATCCTACTAAATATTGCAGGAATTGGTCCTTCGGTACGGATTTTTTAAAGTTTTTGCATAATATTGTAAGTACAGCCCGGACTGTTAGTATTTAGCCAGCTGGTGAGCCGTTTTAAACGTACTGTATACATTTGGGTCGAACTTGTCGTTTTTCTGTCAATGTTGGTTGTGTATTTATCTAGTATAACAATTGACTGATTATATGGAGTCACATGTTTTGAGGAATCTTATCACAAAACAGCAGGCAGCTAAAATTGATAGCGCTTTGGCGGTGACGGTCGACGGCAATGAATTAGTTAAAGTACAACATTTATTTACATTTTAATATAGAACAGTTAAAGTGAGAAATACCCGTGCAGTAATCTGTACTGAAAATTCAAAATTCAAAAATCATTTATTCACGTAGGTAACACAATGTACACTTGTGATTCGTCATTAAAGAAATAAATATTCATGCTTCTAATTTTACATTTACTGCCAGTTCTCAAATCAAGGGCGTAGAACGGAAGAGAAGAACTGGCAATAAACTCTCCGCCACTCTTTTTAATCGCCATGGTTTTTTTTTTTTTACATAACGTTTGTAAGGAGCTGCAACCATTACACCATGTTCCACATGACATTTCAAGTAATTAATAATAATAACATAAATAAAAACAAAGACTTGTCCCCTATCAGCAGGAGGCATGGTGAAATAGGAGCACGCACTTACATTCTCGTGGGAACAACACGCAAACACATAGTCGAAATAATTAACATCAACTGAGTTTTATAAAATATTAAACGGTTGTGTAGTAATGTTATTTACACTATGAAATAAAAATTTAGGTAAAATTAAAAGAGATTTAGATAACAATACTGGTTTTGTAAAAAAGGTATAATTTCGGATTTATAATATGAATGTTTGCCTTGCGTCATGTTTAACATAAAAGTCAATTGTTATACTCACAAAATGGTGCGCGATTATGTCATAGATTTTCATTGCTTTTGATTTTTGTAGATATGGGTATTTTAATTTGACATTTTATGATCATGATTTACATTT